CGGTCTCACCACCAGCCGCGCAGGGTGTGGAAGGGACAGGGCTGGTCCCTGTGAAAGGCCTTGCCGACGTCAGCTGAGCAAACGCCTGTGCGGGCTGTTCCGTCAGCGGCCTCGTACTGGCACTGAGGTCAGTGTCCTGGGCTGGGGAGAAGCTTTAAGCCCGGATCTGTCAGGGGCAGACGTGTAACCGGACTGCTGCAAGAGCACGTGGTGTGGACCACATGATGGGTCCCCGCAAGGAAGTGGCCGGGAAGCTCTAGGAGGGAGGGAGTACTTCTGCCTTCCAGGGGACTTAGGACTTGTGAGTGGGTCTTAAAGAAAGTATCGCGAGGTTTCCAAGCAGCAGAGACGGAAGGGTGGAGAGGGCAGAATGGGCTCAGTGCAGTTGTGAGATTCAGCCGGGCACGTGGACAGCAGTGCAGAGGGTGACACTGGTGGCTCTGGGCTGGGCTGGTGTGACCACAGCTAGACCAAGGAGTTTGGCTTTCCTGGGTGGGCAGAAGCCAGCTGGCAGCAGATGCAGGTTGAACTGGCCGTCTAGGGGGTGCATATGGCAGCAGGAGGAGCATGGGGGCAGGAGACCCCACAAGTGGTCATTGCAGGAGGACAAAGAATTACTGCCCACACACGCCCTGGTGAAAGGACACACAGAATTTCCAAGGTTCCTGGAAGGGTGACTGCTGCCCTCAGTTTACGACCCCCACCCCCACGCCCCCCCACCCCCGGGGCCCACGCCAAGATCCCCTTCATTTCTGCAGCTGGTCCATGAGAGAGTCTGTGTTGACCCTACAGAAGGAAGGAGCCCCTTCTCCTAGCTCTTCTAAGAAAAACTGAATGAGCTGGAATTTTTGTAGAGAAGGCAGGATGAAAAAGGAGTTAAATATAGAGAATATTAATACATAAATATAAATCATATGTAATAATTTACAAGTATAAATTATATGTTAATATATTAATAAATATAAAGTAAAATTTTTCTAAAACATAGGTGCAAAATGTAGATTTCGTACCCTGCCTACCACGGCTAGGCCAATGGAGGCATGGGGTAATGTTCTCAGTGGCAGGTCAAGTGGGCTGGGTTTGAGCAACATCCGCCCCCCACCCCCATGGATTCAGTAGGACCAACTCTTCAGCTACCCACTACTCCCTTGCTCTGGCAGATTTCAGAGAGTGTGGTCTGGGGGTTAGAAGGGTCGGCCAGCTAGCTGGGGCTTCCAGGGAGTGGTGTTTGGAGAACCAGATATGGGACTCCTCCCAGGCAGACCCAACAGAGTGGGGACAAGGAACCAGAGTCAGTCTCGGGCAGAGAGGCCACAGGAATTTGGGGAGGGTGCACCTCTGGTGAGGGCTGGAGCAGGTGGGGACAGACGTGACTGCCATTGCCAGGGCTGGAGGACAAAAGGAAGAAAGGGCTGGGAAACCAGTTCATGGTGAGGTGTAATGAGGATAATTGTGGAGAGGTAATGTGGGGAACATGCTGGTGGGCTTTGAATGGTAGAGTTTGGGCTAAATTAGGCCCAGGGGAGAATAGCAGACTGGGGGAGGGGACAGCATGGGGACAGAGAGGACAGAAGCTGCAGGAGACAGACAAAAGTGGAGTAAAAGGTAGCAATGAGGACTGACTTGGGAGAAATGTGAGACTTCTTTTGCCCTACCCCCCCCCCACAAAAAAAGATATCAGAAACTGGGGAGGGCCTGGACTACCTGGAATGAGTGAGCTGATTTGAGCACTCTCATTTGGATACTAACAGAAAGGGGAACTGCAGGAGGAGGAAGGCCATAGGGACGTCTGGGTCACATGTGGTGTGTAGACTCCATGATTAAGAGGAGTAGTGGGGAGTAATGCCTTGAGCTTGTTAACCTAAAAATGAAGAACCAAAATGAGAGGTAGAGAGGCATTTATTTTGGGATCAAAGAATTGCACTATGGGGAGCACAGATTCAGATAGAAACACAACTAGTGTCCCCTAGGGAGTAAAAGTCAGGGGCTTTTAAAGGCACAGAAGGGAGGTTTGCATTACAAAGAATGTTAATTGGGGTTGGCAGCAGAAAGCTAATCTTGGCTAAAAATAATGGATTACTAAACCTAGCTAGAGGGAGGCAACAGTCCATCACTGTGATGAGCTGTAGGTTTCTTGCAGCGTTACTCTGTTCAAATGTTCATGTCCTCCTGGATGAGGATGTGCATAAGACCTATTTTCCTTCATGGCTTCCCAGCTCCATTTTAAAGCCCTTAGACATAAGTGACTCCATTTTATTTCACGTTTCACATTCACCCCCCTTTTTTTATTGATGTCATAATAGTTTATAACATTTTGAAATTTTAGTTAGACATTATTGTTTGTCAGTCACCATATACATGACATTCACCCCTTTTGATCAAGATCTTTCTCTGAAAGCATGATTGATCAACCATAGATTTGTTTAGTCCCACGTCTCTGGGATGGACCTGTCCCAGAAAGTCATGTTCCATGTCGGGGGAAATTTTTTTTTTCCCAATGGTTATTCCGAGGACCAGTGTCATAAGGGTTAGGCCATATTTGAACAACAAGGAGGCGGTCAGGAAATGATACTTAGGCAGTTTCTTTGCCTGGGAATTTCATCTGGTTACTTGAAGGTTCAGATGAATAACCCCTATCTGTCATTTCAATACATTGAGTGACAATAATCTTGGTGTTTGTAGAAGTTCTGGAGCAGATCTGAGTGAGTCGTAGCATAAGAAGTTTAAATACAAGTACACATGGCAAAATTCCAATAATAATCATAAACAATATTAGAAGTCCTGATCTTATACAAGCATCTATATGTGAAAGCCGGTTGAAAACATCAATAGGGAACCAGAGGGGGTCATTGAAAGGCATTGGACCAGAGACATCCTGTGCTATTTTTATAATATTTATTATAAAATATTATTTTTATAATTAAAATATTATTTTTATAATGGTTGGCTATGGCACAGATGCCACCCTGTTCTGCAAGGAGATAATGGAGTGCCATTCAATTATCTAATATAACTCTGGTTAGGGAATCCAGGGGACATTGTAGTTGAGCTAAGGCTCAAGCGGTAGAATTTGCTAGATTAGCTATAGTTAGGGAGATATTTTTTATCAACAGGTCATTATGGGTGCTGGCCTGGTGGCATAGCGGTTAAGTGCATGCACTCTGCTTCAGCAGCCCAGGGTTCACAGGTTCGGATCACGGGCATGCACCGATATACTGCTTGTCAAGCCATGATGTGGCAGCATCCCATATAAAAAGTAGAGGAAGATGGGCACGTATGTTAGCCCAGGGCCAATCTTCCTCAGCAAAAAGAGGAGGATTGGCATCAGATGTTAGCTCAGGGCTGATCCTCCTCACACACACACAAAAAAACAGGTCATTATGGACAACATCAATCCAAGGGACAAAGCCTTTGGCCATGGTAATCAATGGAGAGTAGATGGGGTGTAAAACAGGGTCAACAAGTCTCGCCTAGACCTATGAGATTGCAGTTGGGTTTCTTCTTTAACAAGAACTTGAAATGGAATACTATGATATCCTAAAAGGCCTTGTCCTGCCATATGCCAGCTGTCTAGACATTCATTAGCCTACGGTTCCCGATACTAATCACACACAAAGGTCTATCCAAAAGGGGGCACATAGAATGCAATGCCTTCTAATTCTGTAGCAGTGTCAGTGGTCAGGAGCCCTTGGTAAGATTCCTTCCAATGAGGCTTGAGGGCTGTCTGCCTCTGATGATGCTTCTAGAATACCCAGTCACCAGGCTCTAGACTGTGACCAACAGGATCCTTTAAATTGGAATCTGGGAAAGTGTCTTTAACCTATTGATGATGGGCTTGAGCATAAGACAGTAGAGACTCACAATGGCTGGTCAGACTCGCATAAGACAACACGGGATCAGCAGAAGGTTGTGTACCAACAGACACTGATCTGCTGGTGACTGTCTCATGTGGAGTCGGTTCATGTTTTCCAAATAGGGCCCTGCAAACAGTCAGCAAGACTGAAGGCAATACCTTATGCCAGGGGAGTCCAGTCCACAGTATATAACAAACCTCAAAGACAATTAACAGGACAAGAATCTAACGTCTACAAAGGTACAGACAGAATTTTTCTCTCTACAATTACTCTCAAAAATTTTTTTGCTAAAGATAATCACAGTAAAACTAATTTGTTTGTATTAAAAACTTGGCCTGATTACTCATACAAGTGAAAATAAGTTTACTCACTGAGAGTTTCTGAATTCTGGAGGGATCAGGTAGGGAGAAAAAGTCAACATTTCATCTTTGTTCACAAAGATATGTCTTGCCAAATTGTTCATAGCTTAAGAGAAAAGATTTCTTTAAATCTGGGAAAACAGAACATTAGAGCATCTTTCTTGGCTCATGTAGTTCCATGCAATTTAATATGCCTTCTGCTTGAATCTAGTTTTTCCATTAGTTTTCTTGAGTTGGCCTGATGATTGAGAGTGATAGGGACAGTGATAATCCTAAGAAGTTTGCAAAGACTTGGTTAAGGTTCGTATGATTTGCCCAGTGAAGTGGGTGCCTTGGTCACTGGAGATTGTGGAAGGTACATCCCAAGTGGGAAGCACGTGTTCTGACAGTTTCTTTGCCGTTGTGATGGCATCAGCTTTGTGGCAAGGGAAAGGCTTTAACCCATCCAGAAAACACATACAGTAACAAGAATATATGTATGAGCCATAGGAAGTGGCAGTTGAATGAAGTCCAGCTGCAGGGGCTCAGAGGACCCAGAGGGAGGAGTTCTGAGGCCTCTGGGGACAGAAATAGTCTTTGCTATAGTGGGTGAAAGAATGTGAAAACTGAAACATGGGATTTGCCAGAGAGCTGAGAAGAGCCCAGTGGTCATCTTGGGTTTCCCATAGCCCTGACCGTTTGTTGAATTTATAGCCATTTTTTCTCCACCTTAATTTCTCTGCTTCAGGAGCAGACTGTTGCCATGTTATAAGGAAATCAGGATGGCAAATGTCTGGCAATGAGGGACTGTTCTTTGCAGAGGCAGAATGGATTGGCCACATTTGCCAATCTTTATAGATTCTGTTGTTGCTGCCTTTACATGAAAATCAGCTAAGGATCTTTCCTGATACTTAGTGTGAGCCTCAATTTTGATGACAGACAACATTTTAGACCAGGATATATTATACTTCGAGGAATTTCACATAATTTCTGGAACTCTTATAACATATACTTACAAAGACTTAACATAAAGAAGGCTTAGTGTTATTTCATATTTGACAATGCTTCCCATGTAATTTAATATATCAGATAAGCATAATTAGTTTAATCTCTCTCTTGTTATAAGGAGAGAAAACCAATCTTTTGAGATATTTCAGGGATCCTCTGAAAAATCCCAATGTGAGCTACAAGTTAAAAAAAAGACTTCATTTAGAATCTGATTTTGGGAAGTTTGTCAAAAATATCCAAGAAGGTCTTGAAATACTTGCCTAAATGGGATGACAGATCATCATGAAACTTAATATTTAATTATGTATTTAACAAAGGTAACAAAAAGATTTCAAAGACAAATATCAAAGGTTACATAGCTTCAAAACCTTAGCTCTTTGTAATAGGAAAGATTCAGCTTTTAACATAAAGCATAGGAAATTATTTTGATAAATCATAAAATCCCTCAAAGTAAAGAAAAATTTTCTTTTTTTATTGTGTGTGTGTGAGGAAGATCAGCTCTGAGCTAACATCCGTGCCAATCCTCCTCTTTTTGCTGAGGAAGATCAGCCCTGAGCTAACAGCTGTGCCTATCTTCCTCCACTTTATGCAGGACACCACCACAGCATGGCCAGACAAGCGGTGCGCCCCCAGGATCCGAACCCAGGCCGCCAGCAGCAGAGTGTGTGCACTTAACTGCTACGCCATGGGGCCAGCCCCAAGAAAAACTTTCATAATGTCTATATCAAGAGTAGATTAGAAGCCCAAGAAACCTTGTCCTTAAACACAGAGAGAAAACCAAATTCTAATTTTACACCAGCTTGTTTTTGATATTAAAACTCATTTACTTAATTAAATTCATTCCAATATTAGCCAGCTTGACCATACACAAGACTATTTTCTCAGAGGTCCTCTTCCACAAACTTTTTTTTTACATCAGAATTTGTCCTTTCTTCTTTCCTATAACCAGTTTACTTTAGATACTTTCTTGACAAAAGTATCTCCACTCCTTATAACTTCTTTCACTGAAAACATACATTTTCTCAGAGCACAAATTTTTTAATGTGGCACAAGATGTGTTTACTAATAGACCCCAACATCTTTTAGTTTTTCTGTAAGAAGAAGCAAAAAGTAGATAAACCCCTGTTCAGTAATTAACATTTTCCTGTTTTATCTTATCTGGAGATCTGTTTTATCTTTTCTAGATATTCAATGAATTTTCCATCATTTAATTTCATTTAGCAAAACTCTAAGGTTTCAAGTTACCAAAAGATTTGGGGAAGCTGTTTTAAAGTACACATACATAAAACATAATTATTTTATTTAAAATTCCTTATTTCACTAACATCTATATAATTCATTTATTCTTAATCATACTTACATTATTCACGAAAATTTCATGAGACATTAAAACAGTTAACTATCATTTTAAGTTAATATTTTCTTGCTGACAAATCTTATAACAGTGATAGCATCAGTTTATTAGATTAATAACCCAGATAGAATAAAAATTGTATGTTTCCATTACACCAGTGATGGGGTTCAGGGCAGGCTGCCCCAAGATGCACCACTCTGGTATGTGGATTATTTCAAGCTGAAGATAATCAAGGCTCTGAAGACTCAGGAAGATCATTTGGCCTTCCCCCAAACTGCCTAAAACAATTTAACACAGAAGGCCTGTTCCAGGAAGGAGCTAATACCATAAAATAGCCATAGTATAATGTAAAATAGGTGTGATAGAGACACCTCAAGTGTCCCATTTTTGGCCCAGGAAAACTTGTTTAACAAACATTTGCATTTCCATCTGCATGTAAATTGTCTTCCTCCCCTCTGAAAGCCCAAACCACTACCCCCAACATCCTGCTTTGTCTTTAGCTGAAGATGATATTTAAGGTGGCAGCTTTGGCCACCTGGGAATGGGAAAGTTGCTCAGCTTTCCTGGGTTTCTCCCATGTATACATGTTATGAAACTTTGTTTGCTTTTGTCCTGCTAACCTGCCTTTTCAATTATTTGACCAGCCATAAGAATCTTAGGGGAAAGGGTAGGGAAATTCTCCCTCTTCCCCGACACCAGTGCTGATAACTCTGAAGAAATGCCTATTTTAATTAAGCCAACCAACTTAAGCAAGCTTTTATTGACCAGAGATTATTTTATAGCACGTTAACTTGAAAAACATTTGGGTTAGTTTCTATTATATTTAGAAATAATTTATATAAGCTCTTACTTTAAGTTCATTAAATAGAATTCTTTTTAGAAATCAATTTTGTTAATGTTACAGAACCAGGTTCATTTTGCCTGCTGCCCAGAAAGCCAATCACCAAGATGACGAGATTGCAGAGAGAGAGGGTTTAATCACAAGGCAACCAAGTGAGGAAAACGGGAGAACAAGTCTCAAATCCGCCTCCCCAAAAATAGGGACTCAGGGGTATTTATGGAGTTGGCACAGTGGTCTGAAATGTGGAGATAGATGATTGGAGGTGAGGAGAGGTGATGCAACTGATGATCTGTGCAAGCGCAGTCAGACTTCGTGCCTCTTCATAGGATGCATGTTCACAAAATGGTGGCATTAGAATGACCCGAGAGTGGAGTTTTTAGCCTCTTGACATCCAAAGGTCGGACATCTGCGTGGGCCCAGTTTATGAGTGGGTGGTCTCAACCAGCCTGAAGTGGACAAGGGGTTCTAATTCCTGAAAAACAGCTCAAACATCCATTACCATGGTGACCCAGGCGTCAAGGAGATGTTATCTATAGGAACCTACTGGGAGTCAGATGGCATATTGCCTAATGAGCACCGTTAACAATGGGCAGGGGAACAACTAAAAGCTACAATCAGTCATTGCAAAAAGGAAAAAGACTTTACTTCCTAGCTACTTAATCATCAATGACTATCAGTTTGCCAGTTTTGTTACCACCCAATGTGGGACCTTCTGCTGCCGCCAGACATGTCAATAGTCAAGAGGCAAGGTAGTAGGAGAAAAAGGACTTTTTATTACAGCTTGATAGCAAGAGGGAAGATGGCTGACTCATGTCCAAAAGAACCATCTTAAGGGGGCACAAAATCTTACAGCAGTTATATAGGCCATTGGGTTATTGGGGAGGGCGTTAGGAATGTTGACCTTCTGGTGTTACAGACTGGGAGTGCCACACCAGATCTTTCAGTTTTCACTGATGATGGCTATCAGCATAGATTCTCTGTTTAGGGGGTCATTACATTCCTAAGGAACTTAAAAAAACAAAGTTATCATCTTATCGCAGCTGGGAGGTACACGCAGAAGCAGGGATCATAAAATCTACAGAACAGTTAGATCTCCTGGAGTGTGCATGTCCAGCTGGGTTAGTTTGTCAGAGGTCATTCAAAGTTACAAAAGGGTTTCTTTTCTACCACATGGCTTCCATTATGTCAACCTTGTCTTGAGCTGGTATCAGTTTCATTAATACCATCTGGAGGTAGAACAATATCAAACACATATAATGTACATACATATATATAGACAACACAGACAGAGATCTTACAGCTTTTATTTGAAAAATTTCAGTCATGAATCAGATACAATACAAAACTCACAAGTTTGTAAAAAATTGTGTCTCTAGCAGATGGAACAACTTAAGGTGACCTGCTTAAAAGTTTTTGTTGTTAATATTTGTGGAGAAGACTTTTAAGATTTATCTTTGCCGTAGATAAGGAGGCTATGAATTAGATTTGGGGTGGGAGACCCCCTCTAGAAGCCTGCATTTAAAATGAGACATTTTGGGCGAGCCACAGTGGCCTAGTGGTTAAGTTTGGTGTGCACTGCTTCAGCGGCCCAGGTTCAGTTCCTGGATGTGGACCTACACCACTCAGCTGTCAGTGCCCATGCTGTGGCAGCAGCCCAGATACAAAAACAGGAAGATTGGCAACAGATGTTAGCTCAGGGCAAATCTTCCTCAGCAAAAAAAT